GGGTTTCCGAGACTATTCATCTTTACAGTAGCAGAAAGAAAAATCTTTCTACTGTGGAGCTGCTGGTAGATGGTTGTGTGCATATGTGTATGTGTATTTATTGTTGTTAATTGCTATTGAATATATTTTGTTGTTGAATTGGTACATGAGCAATTGATGGTGTGTTCCACAGTTTGCTTGTGGCCTTGTTTTGGCTAATGATATGGAGATTTTCCATCATCTCTCCCCACAGATGTAATCAGCTTGATTTCTGTGCATGCCATCTGGTGGGGTCCATGTGTATAGTTGTCTTTTATGCTGTTTTAAAAAGGTGTTTGCACAAAGTAAGTCTTTGGTCTTGCAAAATTCTATCATGAGATCTCCAGCATCATTTCCATCACCAAGGCCATATTTTCCAACTACTGATCCTTCCTTTGTTTCCATCCTTTGCATTCCAATCACCAGTAATGATCATCAGCACTTAACAGCACCACCAGTATAGCAGGACTATCTTACACCTAACGTTTATTTTCTTGTCTATGTCCTGCAAATTTGTCATCCACTGGAGTGCATGAATTAGAGATGATCTTTGTATTCCCAATCCCTTCTACAGTTCCTGGCACATCTAAGGAATATAATAAATCTTTAAGGAATGGATAAAGAAAGATCTGTATAGACTGATTTTATACAAAATTTTTCTGCATCTTTAGGTATTTATATGACTTTTTTTCCCCCCCAATCTTGCTATAGGAGTAAACATGGAAACACAAACTACATTCCAGAACAATTTTTGGATGACTTTATTGATCTTGTTATTTGGGGCCATGAACATGAGTGTAAAATAGCTCCAACCAAAAATGAACAGCAGCTCTTTTATGTGTCCCAGCCTGGAAGTTCTGTCATTACTTCTCTTTCCCCAGGAGAAGCTGTGAAAAAGTGGGTAATTCTTGCATCTTACTAATCGACTTCTTAAAAAATGTGTTATTATATAGTCTAATCATTTCCTAGTTTCACATTGCTGATGGTGTTGTTAGTTCTAGATTTATTTTTGAAGGTTAGTCATCCTATGTAGTCTTACCCAGACAGTAAATCATTTTTATCTTTAATAGTTTTGCTCCTCATTAGGCAAATTTAAGACTTAATATTTTTGTTTGTTAAATTTCACATTGGATTGGTGTAGATATGGTAATTAATTTGACAAAGACCATTTATAAACAAATGTACCTAAAACAATACCATTGCAACTTTTCTCATTATACATGCACTATTGAAGCATAATTCATTTTAAAAATTGGGGTGGGGAGAGAATTATGCAGTAATTAACAGTGGTTAGACTCAGTACTGGAGTCATCATGTGGCACTTTGGGTTGATGTGCTACACTGCAGAGTTGGTTTTGCAAAGTCAGTTTGAACCGCAAGGTAGGCAGTTCAAGCTCACCAGCCACTCCTTGGAAACACTATACAAGGTTGACGGAACTGACTCGACGGTACTTAACGATAACAATAAAAAAGTCAATATTTATGATATATTTTCCCCTTGCATCCCCTCAAGTGCTGATTGTAATGATAATAATAAGGTTCATAGAAAGAATATGATAGTAGGATTTCTTGGCATTGTCTTCATTGTTCCACTACTGATGTATTTTCTGTATGCATGTCTAGAAGTATTTATACACCTAATATGTATACAGAGTCCTGGTGTGGTGCTATAGGATAATCACTGGACTGCTAATCACAAGGTTGGCAGTTCAAATCCACCAGCTTATCCTCGGACCCTCTATACAGGGGTTGCCACGCGTTGGAGCTGACTCATCGGCATTTAAGATACTCCACCAGTATACATATATGTTCTAAATTCTGTATAGGCTACTGTCAAAGCCCTGGTCACATTTTATTCTTCTTATTGTTACAACTGTCTTCCCATTAGATTTTATCTTTGTCCAGACAGGAAAAATGAGGATTAAATGAATCTTATTTTGGGGATGAAGAATGCTTAATATTTCCCCCCATATGATAAAACCTTAAGATTAAATTGTCAATAACATTGATTTTTACGGATGTGCTTTTGCAAGAAATATTTTATAGTGGCTGAGTTATATATGTGATCGTTTTGATGCACACATTTTCCTGAGGAAACTTTCAGTATGACGAGACTTTCTTTTCCTTGTCCTTTCAGACATGTTGGTTTACTGCGTATTAAGGGGAAGAAGATGAATATGCAGAAAATTCCTCTTCACACAGTACGGCAGTTTTTTATGGAAGATGTTGTTCTGGCTAATCATCCAGATCTTTTTAACCCAGATAATCCTAAAGTAATTCAAACCATACAGAGCTTCTGTTTGGAGAAGGTAATTTCTGTAACACGTATGTGAGTCTCTTCTGAAGTCTTTGGGGATAGGGCCCATATCTTAATTTGCTGTTTTAGCATCAGACCTGCTGCTGTTGTATACTGTTAAGTGGGTTCTGACTCATAGTTACCCTGTATGGAGTTTCCAAGGCTGTAAATATTTAATGGAGCAGAAAGCCTCATCTGTCTCCCAAAGAGCAGCTAGTGGATTTTAACTGCTAACCTTGTCGTTAGCAGCCCAACGCATAATCCACTATGCTGCCAGGACTCTTTAGCACGTGACCTAGAACCTGGCAGAAAATTGGTGCTGTAGAAATGCATTTTGAATGGAAAGAATTGACATAGTAGATCTTGTCCTTCTAGGTCAGTGCTGTCCAGTATGGCATATGCACTGGCACATGTGACGAAATTTGAAATAATTAAGGTTAAATTAAAATTTTAGTTCTTCCCTTGTACTGGCTGCGTTACTGGTGATCAGTAGGCACATATGGCTAATGGTAACTGTCTTGAGCTGCACATATAAGGCATTTCTGTTATTTCAGAAATATCTGTTGGACAGCATTGTTCTAGATAGTTTAAAGGACAAGTTTATAAAATCTTAGATTTTAGAATGGATCCAAGACATCTAATATCTCACTGAGTACTAGAATCCTTTTCACAAATGCTTGTTTGATAGCTGATTAGAAACCTTGAGATAGCCAATTTTATAGTTGGAAAACGCTAGCTAAGTTTCTTATGTTGGGACTAAACCTGGCTGCGAACCTTAAGGTCAGCAGTTCGAAACGACCAGCTGTTCTGCAGGAGAAAGATGAGGCTTTCTGCTCCCGTAAAGATTTACAGCCTCAGAAACCCTGTACAGGGTCGCTATGAGTCGGAACCGATTCCACGGCACATAAGCACCACCACCACCA